ATTTCTTCCCCTATTAGCACACAGCTAAACTACAAACTTAAATAAATCCCCTTGACTTGTTTAAATCACTCAGGCTAAAAGCCTTCCCTTAGTTTGGTTCACTACACGTTTGAACCACCTTCCCTTTGGCTCGATGACCAAAGGACTGAAGCCTCAACATGTCTGCTTCTGGTAAGTGCAGCTGGCTCCACCCCTTTCTCCATGGCAACCTAACTCAGAGTGCTGAGCTTGGTCCCATCCCCCTAGTTCTGCCATTTCTGAATGATTAACCCTTTATGTACATCCATAACTGTCTTTTACCTCCTGAACACATACATATAATAATATTCAACCATCTAAGCATATATATATGCACACATACACACACACAATCATATTTAACTGTAGAGACACATATACATAACTACGCCTAACTTACAGTTAAAAATAATTGCTTCATCACACCACTTATGCAGGGAGGCTAATTTAATTTACGACGCCATAAAAATCTCCAGCAAGCATGCAAAAAGAATGAGGAAGTACTCCATCATAGTCACCAATGGACGGTGAAGGGACAGCTCCCCTGGTGGCAATACCCTCATGAAAGCTGGAAAGTTAAATTTATTTATCTATCTATCTATTTACGACATTTCTATGCCGCCCTTTTTACCACAAAGGGGACTCAGAGCGGCTTACAAGTAATATGTAAATACAATATATTACTTTATGACCTTAGCACAATATTAGTATTATATATTACTATATTGTACTATACCATTATACTGTAATATTATTAGTAATATTATATGTAATATAAAATATATAATTATAATATATTATTATTATTATTATTATTATTATTATTATTAATGTTGTTGTTGTTGAGTTGCTTCCGAGTCTTCATCGTTTCATGGACCAGTCCACGCCAGAGCTCCCTGTCAGTCGTCACCACCCCCTGCTCCTTCAAGGTCAATCCAGTCACTTCAAGGATACTATCCATCCATCTTGCCCTTGGTCGGCCCCTCTTCCTTTTCCTTTCCATTTTCCCCACCATCATTGTCTTCTCTAAGCTTTCCTGTCTCCTCATGATGTGGCCAAAGTACTTCAACTTTTTCTAGTATCTTCCCTCCAATGAGCAGTCGGGCTTTATTTCCTGGAGGATGGACTGGTTGGATCTTCTCGCAGTCCAAGGCACTCTCAGAACTTTCCTCCAACACCACAGCTCAAAAGCATCGATCTTCCTTCGCTCAGCCTTCCCTAAGGTCCAGCTCTCACATCCGTAGGTTACTACAGGGAATACCATGGCTTTGACTAGGCGGATCTTTGTTGCCAGTCTGATGTCTCTACTCTTTACTATTTTATCGAGATTGGACATTGCTCTCCTCCCAAGAAGTAAGCGTCTTCTGATTTCCTGGCTACAGTCTGCATCTGCAGTAATCTTTGCACCTAGAAATACAAAGTCTGTCACGGCCTCCACGGTTTCTCCTATTTTCCAGTTGTCAATCATTCTTGTTGCCATAATCTTGGTTTTTTTGACGTTTAGCTGCAACCCGGCTTTTGCGCTTTCTTCTTTCACCTTGATTAGAAGGCTCCTCAGCTCCTCCTCGCTTTCGGCCTTCAGAGTGGTGTCATCTGCATATCTGAGGTTGTTAATGTTTCTTCCAGCAATTTTCACCCCAGCCTTGCATTCATCAAGCCCCGCACATCGCATGATGTGTTCTGCATACAAGTTAAAAAGGTTGGGTGAGAGGATGCAGCCTTGCCGTACGCCTTTCCCAATCTTGAACCAGTCTGTTGTTCCGTGGTCAGTTCTGACTGTTGCTCCTTGGTCCTTGTACAGATTCCTCAGGAGAGAGGGAAGGTGGCTTGGGATGCCCATCCCACTAAGAACTTGCCACAATTTATTATGATCCACACAGTCAAAGGCTTTAGAATAGTCAATGAAGCAGAAGTAGATGTTTTTCTGAAACTCCCTGCCTTTCTCCATTATCCAGCAGATATTGGCAATTTGGTCTCTTGTTCCTCTGCCTTTTCTAAACCCAGCTTGAACATCTGGCAACTCTCGCTCCATGTCTTGCTGGAGTCTTCCTTGCAGGATCTTGAGCATTCCCTTACTGGCATGAGAAATAAGGGCCACTGTACGGAAGTTGAGCAGTCTTTCGCATTTCCCTTTTTTGGTATGGGGATATAAGTTGATTTTTTCCAGTCTGATGGCCATTCTTGTGTTTTCCATATTTGCTGGCAAATGGCATGCATCACCTTGACAGCATCATCTTTTAAGATTTTAAACAGTTCAGCTGGGATCCCGTCATCTCCTGCTGCCTTGTTGTTAGCAATTCCTCTTAAGGCCCATTCAACCTCACTCCTCAGGATGTCTGGTTCTAATTCATTCACCACACCGTCAAAACTATCCTCGATATTATTATCCTTCCTATACAGATCTTCTGTATAGTCTCGCCACCTTCTCTTGATCTCTTCAGCTTCTGTTAGGTCCCTGCCATCTTTGTTTCTTATCATACCAATTTTTGCCTGAAATTTACCTCCAATGTTTCTAATTTTCTGGAAGATGTCTCTTGTCCTTCCTATTCTGTTGTCTTCTTCCACTTCCATGCATTGCTTATTTAAAAATAGTTCCTTATCTCTTCTGGCTAACCTCTGGAATTGCGCATTTAACTGGGCATAACTCCCCTTATCCCTGTTTCCTTTTGCTTTCCTCCTTTCTTGGGCTACTTCCAGTGTCTCAGCAGACAACCATTTTGCCTTCTTGGTTTTCTTTTTCTTTGGGACGTACTTTGTTGCCGCCTCCTGTACAATGTCTCGGACTTCTGTCCATAGTTCTTCTGGGACTCTGTTTACTAAATCTAGTCCTTCAAATCTGTTCTTCACTTCCACTGTATATTCGCTAGGAATGTTAGTGAGATCATATCTAACTTGTCTGTGTATTTTCCCTGATCTCTTTAGTTTTATTCTAAATTGAGCAATAAGAAGTTCGTGATCTGAGCTACAGTCAGCCCCAGGTCTTGTTTTCACCGACTGGATGGATGTCCGCCACCTTTGGCTGCAAAGGATGTAGTCAATCTGATTTCGGTGTTGACCATCTGGTGAGGTCCATGTATAAAGCCGTCTTTTAGGTTGTTGGAAGAGAGTATTAGTTATACACAGCGAGTTTTCCTGGCAAAATTCTATCAGCCTGCGTCCCGCTTCATTTTGTTCTCCAGACCATGCTTGCCTGTGATCCCAGTTGTCATTTGACTTCCCACCTTGGCATTCCAGTCTCCTGTAATGAAAATAATGTCTCTTTGTGGTGTATTATCCAGTAGGTCCTGCAGATCCTCATAGAACTGATTTACTTCTGCTTCTTCAGCCGTGGTGGTTGGGGCGTATATTTGGATCACTGTGATGTTAAATGGCTTGCCTTGCACTTGAATTGAGATCATTCTGTCACTTTTTGGGTTGTATCCAAGTACGGCTTTAGCGACTTTCTTATTAATTATGAAGGCTACTCCATTTCTTCGGTGTTCCTCTTGTCCACAGTAGTAGAGCTGGTGGTCATCTGATGCGAAGTGGCCCATTCTGGTCCATTTCAGTTTGCTGACCCCCAGAATGTCTATCTTTAGTCTTGACATCTCACCAGTAACAACATCCAGTTTGCCCTGGCTCATAGATCTTACATTCCAGGTTCCTATGGTGTGTTGATCTTTAGAGCATCGGATTCGTCGTTCACCTCCAGTACCGTCGGCCGCTAGCCTTCCTTTCGGCTTTGAGCTAGCTGCGTCATCACATCTGGGGCTAGTTGAACTTATCCTCTGCTCCTCCCAGTAGCATTTTGGCCATCTTCCGACCTGGGAGTCCCATCTTCCAATGGCATACCGACATATCTCTGGTTGTACTGGTCCATTTAGTTTTCTTGGCAAGGATACTGGGGTTGTTTGCCATTGCCTTCCCCAGGGATCACGCTTGGTCTGACCTCTCTGCCACAACCGTCCCGTCTTGGGTGGCCCTTCACGGTTTCGCTCATGACATCATTGAGGTGCTCAAGCTCCAGCGCCCCAACAAGGCGGTGATCCTTTGCTGGAGAAATATTGTATAGTTCTTTTTATATTACATTATATTACTGGCTGTCCCATGCCACGCATTGCTGTGGCCCAGTCTGTGTATATATGTTTTTTGCATTTGTATATGTGTGTGTGTATATATATTTGTGTATATGTATATATGTGTGTGTTTGTGTGTATAAGTGGTTTTGAGCATGCGTTGTAATGTATATATAGTATCATATAGTATCATGGGGACACTTTTTGCTTTATAAACTTTGATTATTGGAGATAAAGATCCGGGATATCTATGGGATAGCAATCTTGCCAGTGTGTTACAGCGTGCTCTAATTTTGATTGCACAAGATTGGAAGTGTGCAAGCCATGAGCCTGTCTCTGAGTATACCAAGCCTAGATATGTAAAAGAACTAACCTGTTCTATGCGCTCTGCATCAAGAACCCATTTGTGTCTAGATGGGCGATTTCCAAACACCATTATTTTTGACTTGGATTTGTTTATTCTCAGCTTGTTTTTGTGGGCATAGGTGTTAAGTTTGCTCAGTAATCTTCGTAATCCTATTTGTGTATTTGACATCAAAATCATGTCATCTGCGTATAAAAGAGTGTTTACATGTCTGTTACCAATGTTTGGCATATGAACATCAGAGCTGCTGAGGGAATTTGGCAGGTCATTGATGTAAAGGTTGAAAAGTAAAGGGGCCAATAAGCAGCCTTGTCTTGTATGTTGTGTTTGCACTGTCTGTTTTTGATAAGGCCAACTGGCTAATCAATAAAATTGTTGTTGTTGTTGTTATGTATTTTTTTTGTTTTTTGGCTTTTTAAGTCTCTTCTGTTGTGTTTTCCAGTGTTTTTATGAGTGATGGTCACTCGTTGGCCTGAGAGGGGTCTTGTGTCCAAATTTGGTGTCAATCCGTCCAGTGCTTTTTGAGTTCTGTTAATCCCACAAACGAACATTACATTTTTATTTACATAGATTAGCATAGCACAGGAGACAAGATGGCCTCTGTGTGTCTGTCTACATGTGTCGTGTGTCTATGGCATTGAATGTTTGCTGCGTATATGTGCATTGTAAGTCCCCTGCGAGGTGAGAAGGCCGGAATAGAAATACTGTCAATCAATCTCCCTACTCCCCAAGTTTTTGATCTGCTCCCCCCACTTGTGGCCTTGCCCTCTTTCTGACTTGTTCCTTTATTTCCCCTTCCGCGCAGGGCACGGTGGAGGTGCCCAGGAGGTGAGGGTCAAGGAGGAGCCGGGGGTTTCCTGGGGGTCCCTGGGGCACCTCCACTCCCGCTCGCCCTGTGTCCCAGCTGGTGCCAGTTGAAGCTGACTGACGTGAGGAGCCTTTCGCCGGAGGTGCTCTTGGAAGCCATCGATGACCCCAACCATCGGGTGCAGCTGCTGATTTGCCGACAGTGCGGGAAGAGCTGTGCGGATGAGGAGTCCCTCATGTGGCACCAGCGGACGCTCCATGAGGTGGGAAAGGAGGAGGAGGAGGAAGACGAGGAGGAGGAGGAGGAGTCCCTCAGGTGGCACCAGCGGACACTCCATGAGGTGGGAATGGAGGAGGAGGAAGAAGAGGAGGAGGAGGAGGAAGAGGTGGAGGAGAGGGGAAAGGAGGTGGCGGACAGGAAGGGGCCTTTCCCCTGCACTTCCTGCGGCAAGGTCTTTATCCACCGTCGCAACCTCCTGGCCCACAAGAAGCACCGCAGCAAGCGCCGCCACGACTGCCTCCAGTGCGGGGCCCACTTCTGCCTCCGGGGGGACCTCCTACGACACCGGGGGGCCCACGCAGGGGAGGGGGCTCACCCCTGCAGCACCTGCGGCCTGGTCTTCCAGCACAAGAGGCAGCTGGACGCTCACAAGGCGGAGGAGCACTCCACCGCTGAGTCGGAGCCGCAGAGGCAGGACCAAAGGCCCGAGGATGGTGGTGGGGAGGGGGGCGACCGGCCCTTTGACTGCCCCACCTGTGGGGAGCGCTTCAGCTGGAAGGAGAGCCTCCAGATCCACCGGAGCACGCACGGGCCGGAGCAGGTCTTCCCGTGCTCGCTCTGCGGGAGGAGCTTCAGCCGCCAGAGGAACCTCGTGGCCCACCAGCGGATGCACACCGGGGAGCGGCCCTTCGCCTGCCTCGACTGCGGGCGCCGCTTCCTCACCAACGCCGGGCTCAGCAACCACGCCAGGTTCCACCGTCGGAAGCAGGTCTTCCTTTGCCCACACTGCGGGCGCCGCTTCCGCAACCGAAATAAGCTTCTTGAGCACCAGGCTGCCCATGTGGAACAGGCCGCCGAGGAGGAGCCCGAGACATAGAGCAAACCCTGCACTTCCGTTGGGGCGCTGGGACACATGGAGACCCCACCTGAATGCCAAAACTGGTGATTCGTCTATGCGCAAAAGTAGAGACCGATGGACAGCCAAAGTATTAGATATGATGTGCATGGATAAATTGACCTTTTTTAAGACTGTAGGATCTATATAGCAATATTAAATAACCACTCACAAGCCGGTTTTGCTTTGAAATGGATATATTGCTTGTATCTCTGCAGCAAAGAAAGACACTACTGACTTTTTCTCACCATCACTTCCTTTTATACACCTTTCCTGCCCATTTCCCCCTCTTCTCAGTTTCCTTATTAGAGCTTGTTGCTTCACAAGTTCCAATGCAAGGCTTCCAGCGCCTTCTGCTGGCTTCACAATGTCACAGAGAGAGAATTGATTCAGCCAGGATGATTCAGTCAGGATGTCACGGAGGGAATTTGTGTCAGAAATTGACTCCTGACACCTTTTTAGTTGCAAAATCACAAGGTAGATGTATAAAAACTGTGGACTGGACAATATTCAATGATTCCTTGAAAGAGATTAAAATCAACTTGAAGATATAAAGCAAACAGAATAATTATATTGTCGAAGGCTTTCATGGCTGGAATCACTAGGTTCTTGTGGGATTTTTTGGGGCTATATGGCCATGTTCTAGAGGCATTTTCTCCTGACGTTTCGCCTGCATCTATGGCAAGCATCCTCAGAGGTAGTGAGGTCTGTTGGAACTAGGAAATGGGTTTATATATCTGTGGAATGGCTGGGGTGGGGCAAAGAGCTCTTCTCTGCTGGAGCTAGGTGTGAATGTTTCAACTGACCACCTTCATTAGCATTTGAAGGCCTGGCTGAGCCTGGGAAAATCTTTTGTTGAGAGGTGTTAAGATGTGCCTAGTTGTTTCCTCTCTGCTGTTTTGCTGTTGTAATTTTAGAGTTTTTTAATACTGGTAGCCAGATTTATGCTAATCAAGGTGGTCAGTTGAAACATTCACACCTAGCTCCAGCAGGCAAGAGTTCTTTGTCCCACCCTGGTCATTCCACAGATATATAAACCCTTTTTCCTAGTTCCAACAGACCTCACTACCTCTGAGGATGCTTGCCATAGATGCAGGCGAAACGTCAGGAGAGAATGCCTCTAGAACATGGCCATATAGCCCGAAAAAAACCCTACAACAACCCAGTGATAATTATACACACACACACACACACACACAGCCATTTCAAAAACTATAGACAAAGGAGGATCAGACAGACAATCAAATACAGAAAAAACAATATGAAACCACAAAGAAGAACATTGGGAAGATCAGCATTGAATGTCATTTTTTAATATTTACACTATTTTTTATTTTTGTTTTCTTCTTCTTTTCTCTCTTTTTATTTTTCATTCTTTTAAACCATTAGGGTTTTTTTTCTCAAGGTTTCTTTATTTTTTCAGTTTTAATCTTCACTGTAAAAAATTTCAATAAAATATATTTTAAAAAACTGGTGGTTTGCCTTCTGGTTCTCTTTCAGGTCTCCTTGACTGGCACAGGAATCATAGATTCGTAGAGTTGGAAGAGACCCCAAGTTCTGTGCATCAATGGAAACCTGTGCTGTGCTGGTGGATGTTGATTTCCCAGGCCGTGTCTATTCCTCTGAGAACATTCTGACCACTAGGAATTTATTTATTTATTTACTGTTTTTGTATATTACTATTTTATTTAATTTTAAATTGTTTTTGGTGGTGTTGTTATCCCAATTTATATAATCATCATGAATTTAATTGTTGTTTTTTTTTTTTTTGTATTGTATATGATGGAATATTGCCAATTATTTTTTTGATTTTTTATTATATATTTTTCTTTATTCCCTATTTTTTTTTGTTTGGTTTTGAATACCCCATTTTATTCTTGAATTTTATTGGGCTAATTATTAAAATTTTTTTTTATTTGATATTAATATGTGAATATTTTATGATTTTATATTGGGTTTTTACATTGCCAATTTGGATTTTATGTGTTTATTTTTGTAATTTTTGTTATTTCCCCCTCCAGATATCGATTTATTTGATTTTAATACAAATTTTATTCCAAAAATTTTATTTATTGGAAGGATTAATTGGTATTTTGATTTTATATTTCTATATATGTGTTACCCAATTTTTTATTTTATATTATTTTTTTTTGCTTATTTGATTTGTTTGGACATTATTTTAATTGTTTGTTTTTATTTTTGGACTTATTATGTTATGTTCTTTTGATTAATATTTTATTATAAATTCCCAATTTGTATTGTTTTAATATTTATTATGATATTAATTTATTTTTTTTGTTTTTTCTTGTTATTTTTTATCCAAATGGAATCTTTATTTTTTTCTGGAATTTAATTATTTTTTTTGTTTTATTTTTATGGTTTTTAATATTCTTTTTATTTTTATTTTGTTTTTTATAATTTTGTTTTTTTATCCCAATTTTTTATAATTTTTTCTTGTGGTTTTGTTTGTTTTTTTATATTTTATATTAAATTTGATTTTTTGTTTTGTCATACTTTATCTATTCTTTTTCTTTTGTCTCTTTCTCCTTGACTGGCACAGGAATCATAGATTCGTAGAGTTGGAAGAGACCCCAAGTTCTGTGCATCAATGGAAACCTGTGCTGTGCTGGTGGATGTTGATTTCCCAGGCCGTGTCTATTCCTCTGAGAACATTCTGACCACTAGGAATTTATTTATTTATTTACTGTTTTTGTATACCGCCCCCCTCAGCCTTCCAGCAACTTGAGGCAAAATTCAAGATATATATACTTACAATACTTACTTACTTACTTAGGCGATCCCTCGTTGGACGAGTAAGATGGTCTTCCATTATGGATTTCCTTGTGGGTCCGTATGTGGCTGTGGAGCCCTATTCTTGCTCTGCATCTTCTTCCGCAGTGAGGGCATTGGTTTCCAGGTGGAAGGCGGTCCCGGTCGGAGTTGGTGTGACGGCGCGAGTGGCGCCACCTATGTATAGAACTGTTAGTTGTAAGATTTAAACTGTTGTATCATGCTTAATCTTGCCCCTTTTTCCATGTTTCTGTATATTTGTATGGATTGGTTACTTGTAGCTGTCAATCAGCACTGTTTGGCTCCACCTCTTCCTGCAAGAGGGGAGAACTTCCTCTTTTCTATTCATTCCACCATGAGAGTTCATGCAACATGGACGTGAGTAACAGACTTCATTCTTAAAAGGACCCTGTTAAGTTACCTCTTAGCAACAATTCTGAGGTTTTTTCCCCTGGGACTCATGCTTTATGTCCAGATCATCCTGGACGATACTGAGGAGACCCAGGTGCCTTCAAGCCAGTTCTTTTGGCACCAGAGGAAGATCCTGAATCTTCAAAATAGGCCATTTGAATTGGGGTTGTGGTTTTGCTCCGGCACTCACAACCATTGAGGAAGAGGAAACCTGGTGAGGCTTCTCAGCTTCAAACCCCTTGGACCCAGGACTAATAGAGACTGTAAAGTGTGTTTTCCTTCACCCCTCTAGGGTTTTCCAGTTTATTGCATTGAAGAAATGACTTTGTGACAAATAAAACTTATTTTGAGTTATTTACATCGTTTTGGGTTCTTGGGAGTTCCAGTTTCCTAAAGGAGGGCAAGAAGCAATCCCTTGGGGGAAAGATGCCACGTCCATCCTCCTTTTAAGACTAATAGCCCCCAAGCGCGACGGCACACTTGGCTTGATGTGCCTTACTCCTGGCACGTTTCTCTCTTTCACCCTCAATTCGTGTCTTCCTCAAATTCTGCAGCACTGCTGGTCACAGCTGACCTCCAGCTGGAGCACTCAAGGGCCAGGGCTTCCCAGTTCTCAGTGTCTATGCCAGAGATTTTAAGGTTGGCTTTGAGGCCATCTTTCAATCTCTTTTCCTGCCCGCCAACATTCCGTTTTCCGTTCTTAAGTTCAGAGTAGAGCAACTGCTTTGGGAGACGGTGGTCGGGCATCCGGACAACGTGGCCGGCCCAGCGGAGTTGATGGCGGAGGACCATGGCTTCAATGCTGGTGGTCTTCGCTTCTTCCAGCACGCTGACGTTTGTCCGCTTGTCTTCCCAAGAGATTTGCAGGATTTTCCGGAGGCAGCGCTGATGGAATTGTTCCAGGAATTGCATGTGACGTCTGTAGACAGTCCACGTCTCGAAGGCCTAGAGCAGGGTTGGGAGGACAATAGCTTTATAAACAACCACTGTGGTCCGCTTGTCTTCCCAAGAGATTTGCAGGATTTTTCGGAGGCAGCGCTGATGGAATTGTTCCAGGAATCGCATGTGACGTCTGTAGACAGTCCACGTCTCGAAGGCCTAGAGCAGGGTTGGGAGGACAATAGCTTTATAAACAACCACTGTGGTCCGCTTGTCTTCCCAAGAGATTTGCAGGATTTTTCGGAGGCAGCGCTGATGGAATTGTTCCAGGAATCGCATGTGACGTCTGTAGACAGTCCACGTCTCGAAGGCCTAGAGCAGGGTTGGGAGGACAATAGCTTTATAAACAACCACTGTGGTCCGCTTGTCTTCCCAAGAGATTTGCAGGATTTTCCGGAGGCAGCGCAGATGAAATCGTTCCAGGAATCGCATGTGACGTCTGTAGACAGTCCACGTCTCGAAGGCCTAGAGCAGGGTTGGGAGGACAATAGCTTTATAAACAACCACTGTGGTCCGCTTGTCTTCCCAAGACATTTGCAGGATTTTCCAGAGGCAGCGCTGATGGAATCGTTCCAGGAATTGCATGTGACGTCTGTAGACAGTCCACGTCTCGAAGGCCTAGAGCAGGGTTGGGAGGACAATAGCTTTATAAACAACCACTGTGGTCCGCTTGTCTTCCCAAGAGATTTGCAGGATTTTCCGGAGGCAGCGCAGATGAAATCGTTCCAGGAATCGCATGTGACGTCTGTAGACAGTCCACGTCTCGAAGGCCTAGAGCAGGGTTGGGAGGACAATAGCTTTATAAACAACCACTTTGGTCCGCTTGTCTTCCCAAGAGATTTGCAGGATTTTCCGGAGGCAGCGCTGATGGAATCGTTCCAGGAGTTGCATGTGATGTCTGTAGACAGTCCACATCTCGCAGGCGTATAGCAGGGTTGGGAGGACAATAGCTTTATAAACAACCACTGTGGTCCGCTTGTCTTCCCAAGAGATTTGCAGGATTTTTCGGAGGCAGCGCTGATGGAATTGTTCCAGGAATCGCATGTGACGTCTGTAGACAGTCCACGTCTCGAAGGCCTAGAGCAG